TAAGCTTTTCCTGTTCTATCCAACGCTTGGCTCCTGTTTGCTTAGGTATCTTGGCCGCATCTCGCACCGCCAACCTGTATCAAGTTGGCACTAAGCTACGGAGTGGAATGCTGCAAAACTCTACTCATGCGAGGCGACAGTAGACTCTCCTCTACAACGCCACTTTTTCAAGGATTCGGTAGCTTCTTTAATGGGAACGCTCCAAACCCCTACATGATGCGATTACCTTTCTCGCTTATCATCTCCAAAGCTGCCAGCATTCGAACATATACCTTATCCATTAGAACGGCTTCCTTATAGCGATCGGCTCTTAGATTCGGAGGTTGTTACTTCAACTTGGAGGGCTGCCTTGAGCGAATACCGTAGAGGTCCATGTTCGCGCGAAAAGGTTTTGCCGTGCTTGCTCTTTTTTAGAAGAAAAAAACATGATCAGCTCGAAATTTTTTCTTCAATATCCCTGAATTATTCAAGACTTGAGGTACATACAAAAACACTAATTCTAAGATACCAATCCGTGGAAAACGTTGCTCAAGCGAAAAATCATGCACTAAAAGTCATTTCGGCGAACACTTTTGACCGCTAGTGTGTATGCATTTGAGATTCGGGTCGAAAAACACAGATCGCTTTGAAAGAGACCGATACCTTTCTCCTCCCTCAATGTTCCACTTGAATAGTTTCAAATCATTCAGTGGTTCTTGACATCTAATAACAGATGTTATTGCTAAGAATAATTGCATGCTTAAAGCTGTAATTTAACGGTTCCAAGTGGTACCCTACAGAAACGCTCACAGAGCAGGTGCCGTTAGTTTTTTGCTCAATCGCTCATTGCCGTCAACTTGCTTGAACCAGGCGCCCCCCGGCAAAAGTACGCAGATGGGCGTGGTGTGGGCGTGGCTGTGCTGGTGGTTACGGTAAGTAGGCACAGCTTGCCGACGTGTTCGTGTATGCAGTACGCCCACGCAACTGGTTGTTTTTCATCCCAAAAAAGCACAGAGCACTAATCTGCTTGTAACAAGCTAAGGTGGTGGCGAAAAACAAGTAGGATGGAGCAGACATCTTTGCTCTCAAAACGTTCGAAGAGAACACTGATTAATCATTTTTTGGATCGTGACGCCACCAGTTTTTGTGAAAATCGCGGTTGATTGAAAAGGTGTTTACCATAAGCGGTTTGTTCAATGTACGTGCACGCGATGACAGCGTTTTTGTCTTTCCTTCAGTCAGTCTGTACACTCAAGCCATCCCCCTGCTCATGGACCTAAAAGAGGTTCGAAACCCCCAGAGTAGAAATCAATCCAAGATTGTTATTGTGTCGTGCGCCTTTACCGCTGCTCCATTTCCATCCATGCACTGGGAAAGAAAGAAGTCTAACAAAAGTTTCATTTATTGTCCACGGAATCCCTCGCCTGGACAAGGCCAAGCATGATGTCACATAGTGATCAAACACGACTTCAATTCCTTCCAATAGAAGTAATTTCCCAACACTCTAACCTCTGTTTCTCCTGCCCAATTTCCGTCGAGTGGCTGGAACAAAAAGGCACTTTTCGATGTTGACACTCCGGGAAAAAGGGAGGCAAAAGAAAGGAAAAGTACAAGAAAACATGGGTGTAGTAAACGAATAAAGCTGAAGGACTCTCTGAATCAGTCGTACCAATCACGGGAGCTTTTCGTTGGGCAAAACATGTGAAGCAAGCAGATGCAAGTTCTTAGTTTTTTCCAAACAAATCAAATTTGATTTGGTCTCTCTTTTTGTTTTTTCAACTCAACATCGACTAGCTAGAAAATGGGCTCCTATCGGCGACGTGAAACCTGCAAGTAAAACAATTTTCTGCTAAGATGCAAACGCGAACCGCTGCTGTATGCGCTCAATGCAGTGAAGTGGTTCGCTTTTGAGGCTTCACCATTTCCTGAATTAGATAAGATACCATGATAAAAGTTCTACCACGCAGATTCTTTTCACACTTGTATACCTAGGTGTCTTTTTTGATTCAGAGCCCTCAAATAAAATTCTAAACAGACAAAAAGAAATAGGTTAAGCGCAAATAATTGCTGTAAATTATGTATGAGCAAGCAACCTACAAAAATGCTCGTCAAAAGCTGGCGATGGGGACAACACATGAGTGAGAAGTGGAGAAGATCATGGCAGGCATATCTCGACTTTGCCCCCCCCGATTGTCATTCGGCGTTTCCTTACCTTCTCCTACAGCGTTTTCATGAAATTCTTTAATTCAATTTTTTTGTACTACTACATGCTTGCAGCCAGCTTCAACAAATTTCATGTAGTATTTACCTACTTTTGAATGAAACTTACAAGGAACATCACAATCTTTATAATCCAATGAGTGGTACTTGGAATAATCTGTCCTTGAAGATTCGCCCATATAAATTGTGGCGAGAATAATCCAGTTCAATACTATTATATAGAACGGCTCAATTGTGGTCTTTCATTAAAATACCTCGTTGGAATCATATATCTTTCAGATCTCTACCTTGTACAGTATTGGCCGATCAGTGGAGGATCGCGAGCTAGTCGTGATTCACTTCTCCACCACACCAGCTGAACATGTTGCATGTGAGTATATTCTTTTTTAAGTTACCGACACCATACTAGTGTCTATACAAAACCCTCTGAGGATTTTTATCGAAAAAAGATATTTGAAGAAGAACGCAAGACCCTCTGCTACCATCTTTGAAACTTGACTTTCTAGCGCTCTATGGTGATCATGCAATTTGACGTTTTTGAAAAGTACACTCAGCCGATTGTTGCCAAGTTGTTATACAGGTTTTCGGTATGCTCGTCTCTACTTCTTCCTTTCTTTTCAGAATTATGTACTGTCTCATTTTCGTTTTGATTTATGTAAGAAAAATTTGAAGTTTTTCCATGATTTTAAAACTCTGTAAAAAAAAAGGATAAAGCATTTGCCGTTGATCAATCCCTTTTTGGGATGCGGCACGCATTCTACTTCCATTTGTACATTCGTAGTGGCGTTTGAATGCGATGTGGCCTATACAATGACTTGCGGGGCCAGCCGATGTACAAGTCAGTGTTTTTATCCTCCCAGACAAGTCTGGTACCAATTAACCGACCCCGGAGGGATGGAAGGCTTGGTTGGCCCGGGCGACTCACGACCCAGGATTTGATCCCCGGACCGCTCGCGTGGTAAGCGTGCCACTTGTCACTACACCACTTCCGCCCTCGTGCAATACCTGTAAAACGTAATAATTGCTCTGACAAATTCACTTAAAGTGAGATAATAATGGAAGTCCATATACTTCAAACTCAATTTCAATTCTTTGGTTCATCCTTTGTGTACACATAGATATGTACATTCCTGAAATAAATAAACAAACAAATAAAGCAATTAATATAATACTATATAATGCAGTACTTACAACACACTACAAATTGGTTCATTGTAGTCGCTATTACCACTTCTTTGATATCTTCGAGCTTTTCCCAATCGTTCTTTGCAATCATTCTCTACACCATGTGTGTCGATTTTTTACCTTTTCTATCGGTTCCTTCGTTTCTTGTCGTGATAGTCGACAGTATTCAATGGCAATATGTATCCGTTCCCATAATCGAATAAGGGTATAATTATAACACTCCACACATGCATGGGATGAAATCTTGGATCAATTCTGCCCAGATCAACCAGTCCTTACATCCCCCATTTATCAATTCCCATCGACTGATTGGTACAAAACTTGTGTCCTGAAGAATAAAAACTATACTAACTAACTAACTAACTAATATAGCTAACTATAAGTCTGTTGGCCCGTGCAAATCGTTGCATAAACGAAGCCGAACTTAAAAAGATTTAACGATTACGAATGGAGGTTTAACCCATGGTGCATTCCAGAGAGAATTTAACCAATACCAGGCGCTTGGTCACTTATTAGGCTCCCTGGAAAACCCCCTCTTTAGTTGCACCTGACATTTTCTTCCCAACACCACATGCTCTCACCGCTCTCACAGCTCGCAGCTTCGATATATGCAATTAGTCGCCTCAGGCGCTTCGCAAAAACCATATGTTATTAAATTCGTCATCCACATCCGTTTCGTTAGACGTCTTGAGGGAAATTGTAGTCGTCAATCAGCCAGAATGTGACCTGTGACAACATTGCATGGGTGACTTTTCCTAGATAATGAACTCAGAAAAAGTCGTTATAGTAAAAAAAAAGTGAAAAATGAAAAAAAAATCGAAAAATTAAAAAGAATTAAAATTGAAAAAGTGCGTATAATAATATTGGAATCTAAAATCAATTTTCGGTGTCACTAACAAAATCGTTCAATTACATATAAAATCAATAATTTTATTTATAGTAGCTAGACAAAGCCCTAAGTATGTACACTTTTGTCAAGCCCCAGACGCTGTAGCAGAGCTGAGGCAGTGAGAAGGAAACGAGTCTCTCACACTTTGTATGAATATCAAAGCTGGGATCTGATCCCGTCATAACTAATCGCAAGCCTCTTATCTCTTAATTGATGCCAGACTTGGATGTCGAACGCTGATTGCACATCGCCTGCCAACTATTTCATGGATCTCGTATGAATTCAGTGCCACAAAGAATCCGAAGAAAAGGCGAATGCATGGCGCATCTTGAAGAAGGATTTACTTGCTTCATATGCCTAGCCTTTTGGTCCCTGTGGCAAGCCATTTCTTCGAAGTCTAAGCCCTGTACAAGACAGCCCGAGATTAGTTTTCATTGGAAAGGATTACATTGATTTTGGCCAATGGTTTCCAGTTTTGAATGGAGTCGACATGACTTCTCTCATTGCACTAGAGGAGTCTAATATAGCGCTTCTGAAGAATCACCCTCTATGAGCATGATATTCGGGCGTCTCGGGATAACGTAATTAAGACCATTCATGGAATCGTCTATTTATCGTGAAC